AAAAAAAAAATCAAATAAATAAAGCGTTGTTCCAGCAGATAAAAAGTGTTCAAATTACAAAGGGAAAGGATGGAAAAATAACTCCAATTTACACTCATTTTCACCTTTTGTTGCGAGTTTTCTGTCGTGGGATTGGCGCGGCCGGGGAGAGGAGGCTATTCTCCGGGGAGCGGGGCGTGTTTGCGACAGGACAATGGACCGAGGCGCACACCAGGCCCGGCGCGTCACACCTGCTGAGAGAATAAATGACACACTTCGTTCTCTGCCGTTGTCTGCCTGGCATTTCACACACGCTCCAAATTCATCACCTTTGTCTTCAAAACAAAGGGAAAAGAAGAAAAAAAAGGAGAAATTGCCTGGTCTGAGGTGAGCTTAAGGAAATATTTCCAGAGCCTAAGAGGGACAATAACCTTTTGTGTGCTTTGTGCTAGTACATAGACAAAAAAAGCCTCAAATACAAACTCGCCTTTCTCTATTTGATGGAGGGAGAGAAGATCTAACTCCATCAGAGATGTTTTATGGAGGTTTGTATTAGAGATGGCTTGCAAAGGCCTAGCGATACACGTGTTTAGATGGCAGGTCTATTAATACTCTTCCAAGTTGTGATTGGAAATTAAGCTGGATGGACATTTCCCAAAGGTCTTGTAGGAAACAGACAGCAGGTTGGATAGCATCTCATGAATCTGTGTACGTATCCGCTGGCTGCAATAATCAGACAGTGAGAAGTGTGGGCTTTATGTGTGGAAGACAGTCAATTAAATGGGAAGCAGGACTAAAGAGGAGTGATTATGACCTGACCTTTAGCAGCGCATTAAAAAACCCCAGCAGCTGAGATCTTGAGAATGAGGTGTCATCTCTGAGTAAGCCAATGAATGCAGACCAATAAAACTGGCTCGCTTGTATGAGGAGCACAAATTATGCCCAAATATACACAGCCACCTAGATTTATGTACAAACAATCCTACAAACTGCTTTAGGCAAGCAAAACCAAGCTGTACACGCAAATGTCAGGCTTTAACACGCTCCTCATTTACCCTGCAGTCACATCTCAAGAATCATTTGTTACTCAAGCTACAATTTTATTGCCTTTAATTATTGCTTAAATCCTTTTTGCCACCTGCAATCGTAGGGATTAACATTGAAAATGTGAATGATAAAAGATGCTTTGTATTTTAGACCTCATTGGGTACAATAACACAATTCGATAAAATAGCTTATTTGGGTCTGCTTACTGTAAGACAAAACATTAATTCATGAAACAAAAACTTTTGCTTCTTTCATAGACTATTAACAAAGCAAACCCTTTAAAAGTCGTCAATAACATGTCTGCAAAATCCAAATGTTGTGTCTAGCTTTTTAATAAGAACATTTGCACTGATGGCTCCATCTGTTAACACGTTGCAATTTTGTTGATTCATGAGCATATTCATGTTAAAGCAAGTGATTAAGAGGCCATGAATAATTTAGGATAGATCCACTTTTGCATTGCCATGTATTGTATTTGAATTTAAAAGTGCAGATTTATTTATTTTTTGCTTTCATATGATATAAGTCTTTAATATCAGTGTAACGCTCCCCCTGGTTCTTAAGCTTTTTAAATGAACTTGTGTATTAAGCTGTTTTTCATTTCAAGTAATGTTTTAAACTGCTTTTGTTCTCCATCCCTCTGTATTTTTTGGGGGAACTCCTGGATTGCACAGAGAAGCTTCCTCACCCGCTGCCTCAAACAGGAGGTTTAAGACCAGCCTAATCCCTCAAAACGGTGCTCTAATTTCATAATCCCCCATAGGAAAGTAATTTGGAACTGGCTCCAAATTTACAGAAATAAAAATGGGAAATTAATGCTCCAATGCATGGGTGGCTCTTACATTTTCTTCTTTTTTTTCTAAAAAATAAAATAGTATCAAAATTCCCGGTGATCCTCGGGGGACGTCCTCTCCTATTTCAAAAAGAGCTGATTAGCAGGATATTGCAATGCAGATAAAAGCCTCTTCTCTGGTACTGTATGAAGCCAGAGGGTGTGTAGCTGGGATTCTGTCTGTGAGTGCATGGTTCCCCAGTGTATGTATACACTTTTGGTTTCACCTGATCTTAGAGCATATTTGCTAAACTCAGAGGATGTTTAAACTTCTGGGAAGTGGTCTGTCTTTGTGTTGCTACTACCTGCACCTGGTTAAGGATGTTTGGGATTTGTGCAGAATGCAGAATTGAAGAAATGGCTTGCTTTCAATTTATGAGATGGAATTGGAATTTACCTGGCCACAACCCTGGAAGTTGCTTTGGAATAACATAGATGAATTCTGGGGAATGACGTTGACCTCCACACCCTGCCTCAAAAAAGTTAATTCCTTCCACCCATCCATTCATCCTGTAAAAAGAAGTTGAGAAAATTCCTAAATGTACTGAAGATGATTGCGTCAAGTTTTTGAGTTCTCTAACTTATAAAAAAAAATTGCTGTCTCAAACCTTTTATTACACAAAATAAAATAGTAAATAATATAATGCATAATATGTTCTTTTAACATAGCAATACATTACATTAAAATGACATCTACCAAATTTGCAAGATCTTGCCATTTTTAGTTGCCCCGGCCTTAAAAATTACTTTATTTTTTATTTAATGCCAACATATTTTTTATAGTGCATCAATCTAACTTTAATTATTCTTTAAACTTCAAAGTTGAATCAAGGCTTTATCAAGGCAAAATGCTTTTCTAAAAATTATAATATTTTCTGAATTTCAGTGAACTGTAATTCTACTTCCATTAACTAAAATTTCAATTCCAATTATTCCCAAATAAACCATTTTATTGAATTACATGTCTTGTGGTTTTACTATGTACTGTTTGCTACCAAAATTCAAATTACATTTAATGTTGCAAATTGAATTAAATTTAAAAGACCCAGTTCAATTGTGAATTGGACACAAACCTGTTGAGGGGGAGAGGTTGTTGGAGTTCACAGTGGTTTGGTGGTTGAGATTCACAACTGGATGTAGAACAAGGAAATGCAAAAGAGAAAACTGAAAAGAAGGACTATATGCTCTCTATCTCCATTTTAAATGTAGAGCTAGTACAGTTGAGGTTTCGCTCTTCCACCAATTGTTGCGTGTCTGATTGGTGAATGTTGTGAAGTCCTGTCTCGATAGAGGAGGTAATCAGTGGCGTAGTCACTTGCCTTATTATGTGGAATAATGGAGCTAAACGTCTGTATTAACACCTCACATCGCTCTCGCCATCACAGCAGTCAATGATATATAAAAACCATTTATAATTATCCCCCTGCAATGAACTGTCATCAGCCCGTTTGGTATGAAGAGGAAATCTCATTTCCCTCAAATCACATTCATAGGCAGGGACTGGCAGGTAGCAGAGGAAATGCTGAGTGGGTTTTCCACAGGGGGAAAAAGACAAGGTCCAGGAGACCCAGCACAGGGAAGATAGCAAAAATATTATGCTAATGCCTCCACAGTGGGCTAATCACCACGACCCTGAATTAAAAGGCCAGATAATTAATTCCAGAGTACTAGGTTATCTACTTGGGCTATTGTCTCCACAAGAGAAAAGGAGAAAGGATTCATCCCTTTGTCTGTGTTTAACAAGACAGATAAGGTAGGCCTGAACTCGTCTGGCTTGGGCTGCTGGAAATTAGAGCATGGATGTGTGAAAATGTAAAGAAAAAAAGGTTATTCTTTATTGCAAAGATTAAAAAAAGGCAAACTGACCTCCTTACAATGTCCTTCTACTTCCAGAGAAGAAAATGTGTCTGACTTGTTTGGGCAGGAAGGGCAGTTGAAGTCCTCTGTGGTAGTCCTGAGAAGTGTGATATTGTGTGGTACTTTATTTATCTTGTCCTTTTGGCTTGAATCAGCTTCTAGTTTTCCAGGAAAGTTCTCATTTAAAGGATACGCAAAGGTCTTTTCACTGGCCCGTAGGTGAATAATGTGAAATATTGGTAGCCAGACAGAATCACATGTGACCACGGCAAAAGAACTAATGTGATTTACTGAGCTCATTCTCCGCTTTTTGGTAATATTTGAGGGGGAAAAAATAAGAGAAATTACTATGGGAAAATCCCTTGCATGACCTTCTCAATTCAACATGTCTGAAGTATGTCTGCTAAATGCTAGGCTATGGCTCTAAATGAAAATTATGTCATCATTTACTCACCCCCAAGTTGTTTCAAACCTGTATGAATTTCTTTCTTCTGCTAAACACAAAGGGCAATATTTTTTAAGAATGTTGGCAACCAGAAAGTTTGATGTAATTTTTTTTTTTTTGTATTATATGGAAGTAATATCATCAACTATTTGGCTACCGACACTCTTCAATGCATCTTCTTTTGTGTTCAGCAGAGGAAGAAAATTCATAAAGGTACCGTTCCAGGACTGCTGAGCTCTACAGTTGTATCCCAAATGACATACTGTGACATACCAACGCATTCTCATCCCAAGGCGTCATATACAACACTTTTGCCAAAGCGTAGACATCCAACGCACATGGCACCCTTTAGCATTAAATGAGACGCTTCGTTTATGGTAGGTTTAGGTCTGGTGTAGGGTTAGGGTTAGACCACTAGGAGGCGCGATCTGCCCCATATATATCTGCGTCTCATTTGACGCTAAAGGGTGCCATGTGCGTTGGATGTCTACGCTTTGGCAAAAATGACGCCTTGGGATGAGAATGGGCTCGACATACTGTACATAGTGCACTATGTACTCTATACTGTCTTGAGGATACATTTTAACATGGTTATTTCAGCCCGTCCTCATCCTTTAGCGTCACATAGAACGCTATATGACAAAACGGCGCTATACTATGCACATGACACCCTTTATCGTTAATATTCACGCGAACCCAAGGCATCATAAATCCTTCAGCGTAATTTCAGACTAGCCTACCCTACACCTAAACCTAACCATCACAGCGCGTGTTATATTAAAGATAACAGGTGCCAGGTGCGTAGTATAGCGCCGTTTTGTCATATAGCGCTCTATATGACGCTAAAGGATGAGAATGCGTTGGTTATTTTGTCATCCAAAATCTGAGTCTGATAGCCTCTCCCCTTCTGCTAGGAGGCCATTAAGTGTCCAAAATTCCACAATTAGTATTTTTTTCCAGTTAAGTAAGTGCGTCATTCAGTGCACTTTTTCCTTTTAGACTTTTCAGTGCGAACACACTACTCTCACTATTTATAACACAAACTAGCACAACATAGTGCAGTACACAAATTGAGACGCACCTTATTAGATTACAGCTCTGTTAGCGTAACATGCTAACATCAATCTCTAATGATTACAGCTCTGTTAGCGTAACATGCTAATATCAATCTCTAATGAAATCGAATTAAACTTTTTATGGCATATGGAAATGCTACCTATGTAGAGTGTTTGAAATCAACTAATGAGTTTCCATGACAGTTAAGGTGCCAACCTACTGTAGAAGTATAAACAGCTTGCGAGGTTTTCCCCACGTTACACAGTGTTCATGTTAAGTGTGTAGCAGACTATCTGGATCAGTCGCTGTGACTTTTGTCTATGTTTTCAACATCTAGAGGTGCGTCTTGAAGAGTATCACACTACTTTTATAGTACTTAGATCTGCTTTTTTTCCATACACGATCCATGTTGTAGCACCAGCAGCATTGCTTCTACCAAAGCCGGGCTTCAACGCACCCAGCTGCAGTTTGAAGTCGTCTTTCTCGGACAGGCTGGAAGTGGAGAACCTCTGCGCAATCCCATAATCCACTGTCCACGCTCTGTCAAATGCAAACCTGCCTGCGCCTCCCCAGCAGTGCAGCGGCAAGGTGAATTATTCATCTGTGCCACGGGGTGAGGAGTCAAATAAGCCCATTTTGTCAGCGATGGCCAGTGGAGTTGATGAGAGCAGAAGCAGAGGCTGCTGGGAAAGGGGTGACCATCTCTGCCTGAGCTGTCGCTTCTGTTACCTCAACCAACAGGATGAGAGGGAGAGAGGGAGAAAGAAATGTAATGAGAGCAAGTCTCATGCATTATTCAGCAGTAGGACGTCTCACAAAGAAATATAGAAACACTGGGCAGATTTTTGACAAGGCAGGTCTGCAATCATGCACACCGCACTCCCAGAGGAAATGTGATAACTCAGGAGCAGAGGGAGAAAGAGAGAAGGAAGAGTGAGGGGTGGAGGGGCATGTGAATGCTGGCCTCTACTGAGAAAAGCTGAAGGCTTTTCAAATGAAGTGGAATTTACCTAAGCGTCGTGCAAAGCTTAGCAGCATCAGACTCACTGTTTACACCTGTTAATGTTGCTTAGCAGGCATTTACTTTGAAGTATCAGGCCCTGTATCCTGTAGTGGGAGAAATCCTGGGTTCAGAGTGTTTTTAACAGGTATAAAAACATAATATGTCAGGTGGAATGTATTACCTGCTAAATTTACATATGTTAAGTGTAGCAAATGTAGGGCGATACATCTGCCTAAAGTAAAGCGGATTAAAGGCTGAAGTGTTTGGCATCATAAACGCTCAACTAAATGTAATTTGCTGAAAACTTGCGTTCATTGTAAAAGGTTGACTGTCAGAGAGAGGAAAACTGGGAGAGGAAAATAAAACTGACACATTAAAAAAAAAACTGTCGGGATGGAAATGAACGAAGAGAAAGGAATGAGATAATAAGCGCAAGTTTCATAAATAGAACAAAGCAGGTGAAATTTAGACACTGCCGTGATCACATCTGGAGTTCTGTTGCTCTTCTTTTGCAAACCGATATCCATTTTACATAATATTTAAATGTGCAACCACAAACATCACAAGGGACAGTGAATATCCCATTGTGTTATACAGTACATTTACATTGACAATTTAACGCATTTATTAGACCTTGCAAACAACTGCAGAGTCTACTTTGAAAATGTAACTTGACAATACTACAAATACTTCATAATTTGAAGTAGTCTACCAAAGTAGCTATGCTATGTGCTACTAAAAAAGTATAAATAAAATATTGTATATAACCATAAATACACAAAACAATAAGGATCTCAATGTTGTTTAGTTTTTATTTATTTAACTTACATAACTGAACATAAACATAATTTAACCAAAATGAAAATTTTGAAAAAAAAAAGATTGTAATAATTAAAACATTTCACAATAATATCATCCAAAAAAATCATATGTAGTGCATAAATACTGTAACTCAAATAAATCGGTGAATCCTTTTTGAACAGATCATTTCAAGGAACCAAAATGCATTAAAAAAATAGCATTTTGTCTACTAGAAAAACTTTTGTTTAAAAAAAATTGAGCCAATTCATTTAGGTTGTAGCATCACTACTTCAGAGATTGCTGCTCACCAACTTGAAGTAAAAAGAAGTGTAGACTTAAGGACTGTTCTGATCGGCTTACACTGATAGTTCCCTTTCAGTCGATAACGTCGGACGTAGTCGACGATCGACTGAATGGGGATCACGTAAGAGAGCCAATGTTCTTCGAGTACTATTAAACGAGCCAAACATGCTTTTTGGGCGATTCTCTGTGAATTCTCGTCCGTTTTGATGGCCAGAGTTTACAAAGCTTTTGGTCAAGCCGCCGCCTACATCATCCGTTCCCTGAAGGGTTAAATACGCAACCAGGACGTTTTTCACAAAATAGGTTACACAGTCAAAGAAGGGAAAGGAACAACATGCTTTGATAAAAATGGGAACACTTAAAATTCATAGTCCCTGTTATATCCTCCCACAGAATGTGATTTAAGTTCAGACGTAATGAAAATGTCAGCATTTTGCTCGCTTTTCCCCCTCCAATGTTGACAAATAATACAAACATATCACCTGTTTCTCTAATGCAGAAAAAGAGAAAGAAAACAATGCATCAAAGTGCCATTAGGATTTTTATATTTCTTGGATAATTTAAAGCGCCTCACAGAAAAGAAGTGTTCACTCTGTACAACACTGTAACCTCACACTGACAAACCGAATGCTCACAAACCTTAACCAAAAGAATTCTCGGTTCTTTCACATTCTTTACCCTTCTATCTTGCCATCAATCCTCCCTGCTGGATTGTGTTGACTGAATGGAATTCTCTCTCTCTCTCTCTCTCTCTCTCTCTCAGGCAGTGATATATGGCTGTAGGCAAGGGCTGAGATGAAGTGGAGAAAAGTAAATACTAATGCAGTTATTCTAGCCAAAGTGTCTTATTGATATATAGGCTGCTTTAATCCTCTTTATATCAGTGCTTTCTATATTACAGAAACAGTGTGAATGTAGTAATAAACATAGGAGCATTTTAAACATCTCCGCTTCCTCATTTATTTGCTATTATAGTAAAGAGATTTGTTGCATTTAATTATATCTGTTTTCTAGTCCACCTTGTCAAGTCCAAGACCTTAACCAATTGAGTTTGAGTGGGATACATTTCTTAATGTATTATCTTAATTTTATGTTGTTATTTATTTTTTTTATCTTTCATGTTACACGAGGTAGCCTGGTAATACCAAACTCAGGTACTTCGCTTTGCTTCGTAGACCGAGTCTGATTTTGCTGCCTAATTAACCTGGTCCTCCATGAGTGCAACCGTCGACTATCACAACTATCGCCTTGCCGGCCTTTGGCCTGCCCAGTTTCTCGCTGACGATCGGTAATAGTTGACAAAACTTTTCCCAAAACCTGTCGGGAGTAAGGCCACAACATCACCTCCATTCAAATTGTTTAACAAACACTCTTCGTGTTCGGGCTTCAGTTTGCAAATGCCGGGAATATGCTCCACAACAGAGCGAATTTCATATCCGGGTTTCCATATCCGAGGTCATTTTTGATTTCTCTAACCTAAAATACAATCTTAAACTCGCTGCTTAGTGTCTACGTCACGGCTCTCAGCCCTCTGTTCAATGATTGGCTGGCTGTTTTCAGGCCGGAGAAAAACTGAGAGACATGTTGATGTCTCAGACTGAGTACAGAAGCGAACTGAAATAGTCCACCCAAGTACGTTCAAGTAAGAGTTCATTTATAGAGCTTCTTGTGCATCCCACAAATCTCCATCAACTGCAAGATGCTATCCTATCAATATGGGCCAACATTTCTAAAGAATGCTTTCAGCACCTTGTTGAATCAAGGCCACGTAGAATTAAGGCAGTTCTGAAGGCGAAAGGAGGTCAAACACAGTATTAGTATGATGCTCCTAATAATCCTTTAGGTGAGAGTATATTACTATACTTTAATAATATGTACCTTTTATGGGTACAAAGCTAGTAGGTACAAGTCCCTTTAATGGTACTGCCCAACTGACAAGATGTTGCACCCCAAAAGATGCAAATTTCACAGTGTAAGAAAAAAAGGAGTTCATGAATACGAAAAAACAGTTTCAGGTGTACTCATACATATCATTTCTGAAGCAATAATGTGAAACAGATTTCAGCTGGTTCTCATTTGAAGGACACAAATACAGACTTAAGAGAGCCTACTTCTTATGAAGTCACAGATGTACTAAAACAACAAAAAAACAGAGCAGAGTGCAGTTCTAATAGTCAGTTCATAATTAGCAATCATAACATTGAACATTAGATGCTTTTAGAGACCGTCTTCAGGTCAAGCTCTGTTGTTTTTTTTGTTTTTTTTTGAACACGGCTATGAATCAAATTAAATTAGAACGAATAAATGATGAACTGAAAGTAGGTCAAGGGCTCTTCAGTAAACAAAACTGTAACTGAGTTATGGTGGAGGCGACTGGTTTTTGCAAAACCCCACATCCTCCATTTTTTAATAATCTATACTTCCATCTTTCTAAACACGTTTAAGAGCCCCTGAGAAGATCAAATCATAGGCAGGTCAAAATACTGTTGTTACATGTATGTGTTTATCTAAGGAAGACAAGATGGATCCTTGAATACGTACATGCTGCTTTTCAAAGAGGCCTCATCGGTATATCTTGGGGGGGGGGGGACTCCATAGTTCAGTTCAGTGATCCAAACTTCTCTTCAGGTTTGCTCAATCTCTTTTTTTGAGTGAAGGGAATGTAATCTTAATGAAATGACCCTTTAAAGTGAGCGTGTGCCCTCACCTGATAAGTTATTCCTGACTCGCTTTTAAGCTGCTGTCAAACAATTTCCCTTGAAACTCTGCTTTGTTTTTTGGGGGGGCTTTGAGTGAACTCCCACCGGAGGAAAGAAGTGCGCTGACACTGTATGGGAGGTGCGAGGAGACATCACGCAGCTGACAGAGCTTTAATTGAAATGACAGATTATTTTAATGTGTAGGAAAGTCATTAAAACTTGCACAGCATAGCAGCATCCATTATCCTTGCTGAAAATAGCTCAGCTTCTCAAACAGCTCAGTAAATATGCTAAAGTTATAAAATAAGACTGGATCAGGCCGGTTTGTCAGTCACTCTTGCATATCTGGGTAAATCAGCAGAGGGTGATACTAAGAAATTCCCACATGACAAAGTCCAGAGTTAGATCAACAAATGATTCAAATGATGGTGGCAAGAGCTTGATAAACTCTGATATGCATAAAAGGTCATAAAAAGCCTTATGTGGCAGTTTTAAGATTAGCGGTGGACCAAAATAAAGTTTTCAATGGCATATATAATTATACCAAGAGACGAAGGTGGTGAAGTCTAATATTGTTGATAGACCTATACATAAACAACTTAACATTTCAATTATCCAATATATAGCGTTCAAAAGTTTAGGGTCAGTAAAGTTTTTAAATCAATCAGCTTCTACAGAAATATTAAGTAGCACAAATGTTTTCAATAAATGTTTCTTGAGCACCAAGTAAGAATGATTTCTGAAGGATCGAGATTCTGAAGACTGGAGTAACTGCTGCAAAAAATTCAGCCTTCACACAATTGTATTTGTCAGCATTTTTTTGCCAAAGCACCATGAAGGATGTCCAAATTTAATAATGTATCTAGAAATCTCTAAGGGTGTGTTTTCTTAGGTGCGGACCAAAAAAAAAATTGGA